GTCCATTCCAGCGGTCGACCCTACAGACGCATTTAAAAATTTTTACATGCTGTTCATTCAAAACGGAAATTTTCTCAAATATTATAATAAATTAGCATAGTGTGCATATATATAGGCAAAGGTTAGCTCAGGTCAGGTGTTTAGGTTCTGTTGGCGATTATCTGTATATGTAGTGATGTAACACTGTAAAAGTGTTTGGTTTAGTTTATTTAAAATATATATAGTACATGAGTCACAGACAGGGATTTGGAAAGGCGCCAGGTTGTCGGCCTGAGATCTCACACCTCAAAGCGTTAATGACCCCAAGTGACCTGAGGTCAGACCATGCGAATTTCACCTTACTTCTACTAATCTCATAATTGGAGCCTGGTAGCCTTCAAACTTGCCGACGTTTAAGGAGTGGCTTGGTAGAAAGCCGGAGGCTGTTTACTTGTGGGCGGAGTTAGCTACTAGGTTCCCCAATAAATACTCGGAGAACTATCGATTCGAGAGCATTAAGCAATAGGAGACCAGCCAGCGGAGCAGAGCAGAGGCCAGCCGTCGAGATAGGCCGTCACCAGACGGGGGGTGACGCTGCCTGAAAATTGCAGACTCCCCCCCCCCTCTCTATTCAACTTAGACTCAGTCCTCGGTGAGTGAACATTTAGGTGACTTGGTCATGTTTTACAAGTGTTGTGTGATGATCAGGGGCAGTCAGTTGTAGTGTTCTCAGATTCTTGGAGGATGACTTACTTTGAATATTAATCTTTAACATTTCAATTGGATTGCTTAAGTTATGATACTTATCATGAAAAATATAATTGTTGAATTTATTATTTAAATGGACTTTATTTTGTTCCCTAGAGATTTTGAGTTGAGGTGAGAAAGCCTCTGTGGTTACTGGTTTCATGGTTTAGAATGAGTACATGATAAAGATGGGACCATACTAATAATGATCTCTTGATAACATCTTTGGTGAATATTGTGATACAGACAAGTTCCATTCCTTGTCTTGTATGTAATGATCATGAATGGATGGTGGCAGCATTTCGTCTTCTACTATCTACTCTTCTACTTCTACTATCTACTCTTCTACTTCTACCTATCTACACCTCTCCCTCCACCCCTCTCTAAACTCTCACTTTCAACTAATGACCCTCCTCGCTCCTCCCACCTCTCACCCCAAACCCTCACTAATTACTTCACTATTCATTTCTTTCCTTTCGTTTTCTCTTATACGTTTGTAGCAATGATTCTGTATTCTAGAGTTCTCTCTAGAGTTTCGGGTAACTGATCAAGTGACGGCGCCTTGTAGTCTTAGCACCTAGGTAGTCAAATACCTAGGTTACAAGGTGTTGAACGAGAGAGGTTGCCTTAGGATCTCTGGGAGTGCTTTAGAATAGTTAGTTACTGGGGACGGGATAACGGACTAGAGAGAGCTGTTTCCCCCGGCCTCGTTAGTTAACTGGGGGGTGGAATAATGGACAAGATAGATCTATTTCCCCCCCCCCCCCCGTTACAGTACTTGGGTGAAGCATTTACAGCGTTGGGGTTCGAATAAAATTCGTCAGAAGCATATGTTACGGAAGTGTTCGAACGAAATCAGTTGAGAGTCTTGTGTAATCCGTTTTTCATTCATAAACAGTGGGGTTTGGAGCAACCCGTCCTCGACTCAAGTCCATTACATTCAGCGGTTGTGGGAACCGACCTGTGAGATTTATATTTATTTAATTTATATGAATTTATATAGAATTTATATTTATGTTAATTTATATACTTCGATAGCAATTTGTATAATGATAAGTGGACTGTATTTCTGCAATAATCTCATAATTTCACAAATCGATCCTCTACACATTAGGGGGGGTTTATATTAATTTAATTTATATATATGCAGCCAATCAAACTACAGTATTAACTACACATTATTAAACATTGAAGAGGTTCCTTATCTTATTTGTACAGCAGGCCTTAGTCCACCAGGTATAACCAGGATGTAGACACCACATTTTCCCTCTTTGAGGTAGCTTCCATCACCCTGGTAACTGATGCACAAAGCATGCTTCCTCGTCTTGACCTGTCAAAAGGGTGCTAGCTGTGAAGCCAGAATCCTAGTATATGACAAGCTATATCAGAGAAACACTATACATGGAACCATGAAGACCTGGCTTAATTACCTTTAGTTTGAGGCTGCCTCGTGCTCTAATCGGGTCACCCTATATCCACTGACATTAATGGCCATAAATGAAAGATAAATGGGTTTCGGAAGAACACTTAACTTGAATTTGTTGACAGCGTGTTGAAGATGGTACACCTTTGGTTTCCATAACACTACGTCCAAGTAAAATTAACAGGAGCCGTATTTGCTCCCGTGAGCCTCTGGTCTAATATAAACAATGGCTGCCCCTCCCTCACCACTGACGCCTGGCTTACATTGTCCAGATGACAGAAAGTGATAGAAGGGTCACATTTACTCTACTTTAATATTGATAATTAAGTTAATTTATATGAGATGTTTTTATGATGGTAAAGTCCAAAGACTAATGTATTTAAGAATAATTCCCAGCAGAATAGCTGGTGAATTTATAATAGTATGTGGTGATGATATCCCGTTTTCTATAGACGGTAATTCCACTACAAGTTACGTTTTCTATGGTTAACTTGTTTATACAATACAGCAATTATTATGTCTGTATGATTATTAAATGGTGTCGGATTTTCCGACAGCGGTCAACCCCACAGACGCATTCATAAATTTTAACAATGTTCATTCAAAACAGGAATTTTCTCAAGTATAAATTAATATTATAATATATTAGCATATTGTGTATATATAGGCATAGAATAGGTTAGGTTAGGTGTTTAGGTTCTGTTGGCGATTATTTGTATTTGTAGTACGTGGGTGAAGCATTTATAGCGTTGTGATTCGAACAAAATTCGTCAGTGAAGCACATGTTCCGGATATGTTCGAATATCAACAGTTGTGAGTCGTGTGTAAACCGCTTTTCATTCATAAACAGGGGGTTTGTGCATGGAATCACTTTTGGATCTTTGTTTGGAGGACGGGCTGTTTGGAGGGTGCATGAAATGGACTTTGGGTCTTTGTTTGGAGGCCGGTCCTCATCAACAAAGGCCAAATGCTCGATCATCCAGCCGCCAAACACCCTGATTATGAATGAAAACCAGCTTATACACTACTGAACTGATTGCGTTAGATCATTCCTCGAACCGTGCTTCGCTGACGACCTCTGTTCGAACCACAATTAAATGCTTCACCCACGATATGAAAATACAAATAAACGCAAACTGAACCAAAACAAATAACAATCTACGCCTAACTAAATAGAACTTAAACATATTAATTTATGGGAATAAACCTATTTTTAATAAAAACAAAAATTGATAAATTCTCATACACAATTATCCTCGATGACCGACATGCGAAACAAAAATATACATCAATTATCTGAGGACACCTGATACCACCTACATGTGTACGTAGCACACGTCTGCTAAGCACCCCTTAAGACGTACATAAGGTTGACTCCAGTGCTCACACTGGGCATGTAACACCACCAGAACCATCCATCGGATCGTAACATAGCCTCAAGGGCGATCCCTCATTGTTTAACTTCCTGCCTCTACCCGTGTTCCTCCTAGGGGCTCCCTAGACTATTGGCTCTGCCTTCGAACAATCTTAAGGCGACCGTTCCTCACTAAAGCGACACAATGCAGTCTCCCAGATTCGGTGCGCCAGCCAATACAAGTACCTTTGTTCAATTCACCTACACCTTCAAACTACTGGACGACTCGGGGCCCCAAGAGTGACAAGGGTACCAAATGCCCTACCTTACCTCAGAGTCTGTAGTGGTTAACAACAACCAAGTCTCCTTGCGGCTTCCTTACCTGTACCCTTGGCTGCCTGGTGACGGACAAGACTACACGTTGCTTGGGACACAAGTCCGCAGATAATGCCGATGGTGCGAGGTCGGTGGCCATCACTTTCTCTCGCCTGGGCTGTTAAAGTTGAGCTCGGCGAATCCCAGATCTGTCTACGCTCCCCTAATTTCCAATTCTGGCGGCGTACAACATGCACTCTAGAGCTCCGCCTGGATGTTCCTTGCTATCGTCGGGGTTTGTCTCTGGTATCAGCATTCTGCAAAGAGACGACTGAGTTAGTCTTCTATGTACGTGAGGTCAAGGTGATGTAACTCCCGGGAAGGCTGGCTTGTAGCACATCGACACCTCCCTCTCAAGCCAGTTGACCCAGGGTCGATCCCCTATTGGTCCACCCATTCTGCAGTCACGCAATCGGCGTGCGAGTATCGCAAGGGTGTTGTTGGCTCATTCAGTTTTAATCAACGGCGCCTGTCGACCGTTATCATAGAAAACGAAGTATTTATGTGCGGGTATGACTTGTCAATGACAGACGTGTTCCTTGATGCACACGTGGTAGTTGTAGACACCTCTACATCATGTTGTAGAGGGAGATACACCATATTGTATTAACACCTCTACTGTTGTAATGGACAAAGTTAAGAGTAAGTATTACCTAGCGAGTCAAGCCCTACAACACCCAACACATGGTGGGTGACAGGAGTGTTCAATATGTTCACACGTCGAGGTGAGGTAAAAGCCGATATATATTATGTACTTGAACTCGTGTGTAATATGTTCATTGTCATTAATAATACCTTTATATTACAGAGTTATTGCTAGAGGTTCATGCCCCGCTCCCACCTCTCCCACAACAAAGAAAGGCATGATCCAGGCTGCCCCTTTTAAAATCCAAAATCATAACGTATGGTAATTATAACCTCTCCTCCCATAGATCACTTAATACTTCCTGCAAGTCAAATGTTGTCAGTGTATATGGCAGTCATTATAAATATCCCCATGAGAATAATGAATGGCATTAGTATGCCAGGTATATACATGCCCCTGATCTCCCCCCCCCTTCCTCCCACACCCCATACCCACCGTGTGTGGCATGACCCTGATGTGGTATTCTCCCCCTGCAGGTGACAACCCTTCCTACACAGAGTGCCGGCCACACATAGATGCCACCATCCGCAACCTGGCAGCCAAGGCCATTGTCGCCGGGGAGGTCCCTCCGTCCACCCTCAGTAGTGATGACTATGGTACGACCACTCCCAAACCCTAGAGCTGCACACCTCTCTTGATCACTGCTGTAGGAGGAGTAGTAGTAGTAGGGAGTCTGTTGTGATGGTAGTGTTGTTAGTGATGGTGGGGGGTGTTATGATGGTGTTGTTAGTGATGGTGGGGGGTGTTATGAGTGATGATGGGGGTGTTGTTAGTGATGGTAGGGATGGTAGGGATATGTAAGTGATGGTGGGGTGTAGTTAGTGATACTGGAGCGTTGTCATTGTTGATGGAGCGTTGTTATACTTGCTACGGGTTTCCCAAATCCAACTTCTCTGCTTATATTGGGTCTCCTAATTCCACTCTGGGGATGCGTCGTAGTTTCCCGTTCCCTTCCAGGCTTTCACAAAGAAATTGAATTTGTTTTTGGAACTAGAATATTGATATTACATACAATGACAGTTATTCTGAAAGCATATTGCATGCTAGAAATGCCATTCATCTAATTCACACAAAAAATAAGTAGCTGACGTACATATTTTCCTAGGAAGACATAAACTAGTAATTCACGTATAACAGGATGAATCAAGTTGTTCATTCCTTTGATAAGCTCATCTGGTAACTCGTTAAACTTTTCCCCTGCCTCAGAGGGAGTTACAGTTTCTGAGGGCCCTGCCCAAGATGTACCACCTGTCGAAAGCAGCGAAGTATCTCCAGAAGAAAATCCCGAGGTAGCATCCGAGCCTGCGGAACCACCAGCACCCGAAGAATCCCCGCCACCTGAAGAAGTCCCGTCACCTTCGGTGCCTGAAGAATCCCTGGCGCCTGAAGAACCTCCGGTCGTAGCAGGAGAAAAATTTGCAAAACGAAAAGAGAGTAGAGTGACTGAAACTGCTGAACCAGAGGAGCCTTCAACTGACGAAGTGAAGGACGAAGGCCCCGCAGCAGAGGAGCTCGTTGAGGCCCCAGCACCAAAGGTCGTTGAGGCCCCAGCAGCAAAGGTCGTGGAGGCCCCAGCAGCAAAGGTCGTTGAGGCCCCAGCAGCAAAGGTCGTGGAGGCCCCAGCAGCAAAGGTCATTGAGGCCCCAGCAGCAAAGGTCGTTAAGGCCCCAGAAGCAAAGGTCGTGGAGGCCCCAGCAGCAAAGGTCGTGGAGGCCCCAGCAGCAAAGGTCGTGGAGGCCTCAGCAGCAAAGGTCGTGGAGGCCCCAGCAGCAAAGGTCGTGGAGGCCCCAGCAGCGAAGGTCTCAGGTAGGATGGGTCCCATAGTGTTACAATGGTCTTGGCTGATTGACTCCAGTGAAGCTTCACGTGCTGTGTAGAAGTATTATAAAGCTAATTTCGTGGCCCGGATGTATTTATCTAACTTGTGTGGCATTAGTATTTTGACCTCATCATCTGTAGACATACATACAAGCACCATTTCGCTATAATTTATCATTGTATTATCTATTCTTTGGCACCATTAACCCTTAAGAGTATATCTTGCGTTAAAACATTTACGTTTTCACCATCGAAATTTATGAGAATTGGGTTCTGCTTATAAATTCCTTTTATTAGGAAGATTTGACATTTCTTTGGCTATAATTACCAAATAAAAAAAATAATGGTTTTATATTAAATATAAGTCATTGATTCGATGAATTTTTAGAGCAGGTTGCATCATTGTGCAAAAACATAATTATACACAATAATTCAACTCGATAGTTCTTGTTAAATATATTTTTAGTTTACCACATTTATTTGCACTCCCCTAATTCCTATACAAAAAAAAGCAAAAAACGAGAATTTATGGGGTAATTTTTTCTAAAAAATTATGGCCGTAATTTATCAGAATTAAAAGTAATTTTCAGAATCGTCTGAATTATGGGGTCTGGCACTGCTCGGGTACCGGGGAAAATTGATTCCTGCTCTTGTCGTACAAGCTGGTGACATGCATTCACCATGTTTCCAACTGACTCAGTACCCCATGGGTCTGCGTCCTCAAAGCATAGCTCTTTCTAGACTTTAATCCAATATATCCACAGTCATTCAATAAGTTAATGTTTATAATTAAGATTATTTTCTAGTTTTCCTAAAATAGCGCTGAACATTTTCTAGTATGGCCTGATTTACATAATGGCACAGAACATTACAGCAAATAATAATTAGCTGAATATAGAGGATCAATAATAATTTGCATAATTGGATTGAAGTTCGGTCAGCGCATAAAATTTCGTTGCCTAAACTGTTACTGTTTTGACTCAGCAGTGTTACTGGTCGGGAGCCGGTCGGGAGCCGGTCGGCCGAGCGGACAGCACACTGGACTTGTGATCCTGTGGTCCTGGGTTCGATCCCAGGCGCCGGCGAGAAACAATGGGCAGAGTTTCTTTCACCCTATGACCCTGTTACCTAGCAGTAAAATAGGTACCTGGGTGTTAGTCAGCTGTCACGGGCTGCTTCCTGGGGGTGGAGGCCTGGTCGAGGACCGGGCCGCGGGGACACTAAAAGCCCCGAAATCATCTCAAGATAACCTCAAGATAACTACTGAAACATGGAAGATGTTCCAATAATGTCACATCGTCTGGTCACTTAAGAATAACTCACAAAAGTAACTTTAGGATGCTGGTCTGCTGGAAAATCTCTGAATTACACTTGCATTGACTATATAAATGTTAAGATACTTGCTTCTCTTGTAATGGTTCGAAACTTTGAAATGCGCCAAATGTCCTAAGCTAAATTCCCCCCAGATTGGTCTCTTTTTGTATGCCCTGTGAAGATCTTGGAACTGATCCATAGACACTAGGGTGGCCAACATGCTGGCGGTGTCGTGTCTTCCTTAGAAGGGTGCTGCAGTAAAGACTGCTGTCTGTAAAACGTTGGAGATGAGAGTTTAATCTTGAGAAGAACATCCATTTTCTCTCTCTTTCTCTTTCTCTCTGGCTTTTGGGCCGCGACTGATCCGAATGTAAACCTCGGCCCATTTTGAATTGCAGCAGAAGCGAACTTAGCCAAGTGATCCTTGTGGATTAGATCCAGCCACTTTTGCATGGATAATTTGGATGTGCCCAAGGCTTGATCGGTGCTGTTAAGAATATTCAATCAGTTTAGCTAACATTGTCAAATGCAATTTTTTTAATTTTTTTAATTTTAGCTTATTTGTAAACAGTTCTAACCAATAACACAGGCGGTTATGACTTAGTGTAACGGAGCAATGAATAATTGTTGATGTCGTAACACGTTACATGTAACAATATATTATAAAATCAGCTGATGCTTATTTAATCTGCATAGATATAATTAATCTGCATGGCCAAACTGTAACTTGTAAAGCGAGATTTGTTCTATATCTTGTTTATATTTGACCAAAATGGCTTTAATTTACTGTTAACACCTGCCGACAAGCTTATAATAAACAAAATAACCCCCCATGCACCGGCTTGTAGATGTTAGCTTCCTCATGTTCAAAGACACACGAAGGGCCAGAAAGTCTTATCAATGTTGTAGTGTGATTCTCTTGTTTCTGTCTTGTCACCAGACCACGAGGACCACTTAGCCATCACACTCTTGCCAAAGAAGAACAGAGACGCCAGAAGACATAGCACGAAAAGACACGGGAAAACAAAGGAGATAAAAGAGAGTACAGTTGCCCCTGAGACTGGAGTTACGAGGAACCGGGTCTCACAGGAGGAGACTGACGGGCTCGGAGACACCACGGAGGTGGAGACAGGAGGTCCAGTACGCAGGGAGCGACAGGAGGGTGTCGTCCACGTTGATGGGAAACGCAAGACTAAGGACGACGAGACCAAGAACCAAGCAGCTGAGGATAACACGCTGGAAGAAATTATTGAGAAAAAAGACCAGAATGCCGACGAGAAAGACCAGAAGAAACTAACCGATGAGAAAGACCAGAAGAAGATAGTTGACGAGAAAGATCAGAAGAAAGTAGCCGATGATAATCACCAGAAGAAAGTAGTCAATGAGAAAGACCAGAAGACAGTAGCCGATGAGAAAGACCAGAAGACAGTAGCCGATGAGAAATACCAGAAGCCAGTAGCCGATGAGAAAGACCAGAAGACGGTAGCCGATGAGAAAGACCAGAAGAAAGTAGCCGATGAGAAAGACCAGAAGAAAGTAGTCTATGAGAAAGATCACAAGAAAGTTGCCGATGCGAAAGATCACAAGAACGTAGCCGATGAGAAAGAGCAGAAGAAAGTAGCCTATGAGAAAGACCAGAAGAAAGTAGCCAATGAGAAAGATCACAAGAAAGTAGCCGATGAGAAGGACCAGAAGAAAGTAGCCTATGAGAAAGATCACAAGAAAGTAGCCGATGAGAAAGATCACAAGAACGTAGATGAGAAAGAGCAGAAAAAAGTAGACGATGAGAAAGACCAGAAGAAAGTAGCCAATGAGAAAGATCACAAGAAAGTAGGCGATGAGAAGGACCAGAAGAAAGTAGATAATGAGAAAGATCACAAGAAAGTAGGCGATGAGAAGGACCAGAAGAAAGTAGATAATGAGAAAGATCACAAGAACGTAGCCGATGAGAAAGAGCAGAAGAAAGTAGCCTATGAGAAAGACCAGAAGAAAGTAGCCAATGAGAAAGATCACAAGAAAGTAGCCGATGAGAAGGACCAGAAGAAAGTAGCCTATGAGAAAGATCACAAGAAAGTAGCCGATGAGAAAGATCACAAGAACGTAGATGAGAAAGAGCAGAAGAAAGTAGCCTATGAGGAAGACCAGAAGAAAGTAGCCAATGAGAAAGATCACAAGAAAGTAGGCGATGAGAAGGACCAGAAGAAAGTAGATAATGAGAAAGATCACAAGAAAGTAGCCGATGAGAAGGACCAGAAGAAAGTAGCCTATGAGAAAGATCACAAGAAAGTAGCCGATGAGAAGGACCAGAAGAAAGTAGCCTATGAGAAAGATCACAAGAAAGTAGCCGATGAGAAAGATCACAAGAAAGTAGCCAATGAGAAAGACCAGAAGAAAGTAGTCAATGACAAAGATCACAAGAAAGTAGCCGATGAGAAAGACCAGAAGAAAGTAGTTGATGATAAACATCACAAGAAAGAAGCCGATGAGAAAGACCAGAAGAAAGTAGCCAATGAGAAAGATCAGAAAAAAGTAACCGATGAGAAAGACCAGAAGAAAGTATCCGATGAGAAAGACCAGAAGAAAGTAGCCGATGAGAAAGACCAGAAGAAAGTAGCCGATGAGAAAGACCGGAAGAAAGTAGCCGATGAGAAAGACCGGAAGAAAGTAGTTGATGATAAACATCACAAGAAAGTAGCCGATGAGAAAGACCACAAGATAGTAACCGATGAGAAACACCAGAAGAAAGTAGCCGATGAGAAAGACCAAAAGAAAGTATCCGATGAGAAAGATCACAAGAAAGTAGCCGATGAGAAAAAACAGAAGAAAGTAGCCTATGAGAAAGATCACAAGAAAGTAGCCGATGAGAAAGATCACAAGAAAGTAGCCGATGAGAATAACCAGAAGAAAGTATCCGATGAGAAAGAGCACAAGAAAGTATCCGATGAGACAGATCACAAGAAAGTAGCCGATGAGAAAGACCAGAAGAAAGTATCCGATGAGAAAGACCCGAAGAAAATAGCCGATGAGAAAGACCGAAAGAAAGTATCCGATGAGAAAGATCACAATAAAGCAGCTGATGAGAAATACCAGAAGAAAGTAGCCGATGAGAAAGATCAAAAGAAAATAGCCGATGAGAAAGACCAGAAGAAAGTAGACAATGAGAAAGTCCAGAAGAAAGTAGCCGGTGAGAAAGTCCAGAAGAAAGTAGCCGATGAGAAAGACCAGAACAAAGTAGCCGATGAGAAAGACCAGAAGAATGTAGCCGATGAGAAAGATCAGAAGAAAGTAGCCGATGAGAAAGACCGGAAGAAAGTAGCCGATGAGAAAGACCAGAAGAAAGTATCCGGTGAGACAGATCACAAGAAAGTAGCCGATGAGAAAGACCAGGAGAAAGTAGCCGATGAGAAAGTCCAGAAGAAAGTAGACAATGAGAAAGTAGCCGATGAGAAAGTCCAGAAGAAAGTAGCCGATGTGAAAGTCCAGAAGAAAGTAGCCGATGAGAAAGATCACAAGAAAGTAGCCGATGAGAAAGATCACAAGAAAGTAGGTGATGAGAAAGATCACAAGAAAGTAGCCGACGAGAAAGACCAGAAGAAAGTAGCCGATGAGAAAGATCAGAAGAAAGTAGCCGATGAAAAAGACCAGAAGAAAGTAGCCGATGAGAAAGACCAGAAGAAAATAGCCGATGAGAAAGACCAGAAGAAAGTATCCGATGAGAAAGATCACAAGAAAGTAGCCGATGAGAAAGACCAGAAGAAAGTAGCCGATGAGAAAGATCACAAGAAAGTAGCCTATGAGAAAGATCACAGGAAAGTAGCCGATGAGAAAGATCAGAAGAAAGTAGCCGATGAGAAAGACCAGAAGAAAGTAGCCGATGAGAAAGACCAGAAGAAAGTAGCCGAAGAGAAAGACCAGAAGAATGTAGCCGATGAGAAAGACCAGAAGAAAGTAGCCGATGAGAAAGGCCAGAAGAAAGTAGCCGACGAGAAAGTCCAGAAGAAAGTAGCCGATGAGAAAGATCACAAGAAAGTAGCCGATGAGAAAGATCACAAGAAAGTAGCCGATGAGAAAGATCACAAGAAAGTAGCCGATGAGAAAGATCACAAGGAAGTAGCCGATGAGAAAGATCACAAGAAAGTAGCCGATGAGAAAGATCACAAGAAAGTAGCCGATGAGAAATATCACAAGAAACGGGGACACAAAGACCAAGATGAAGATGGTGCGAAAAAAGACAAATTAGTTCTAACAGAAAATGTCAATGAGGAAGTTGATGAGGATAAGGACCAGGAAGAAGCTCTTGAGGATGAAGACCAGGAAGAAGCTCTTGAGGATGAGGACCAGGAAGAAGCTCTTGATGATGTAGACCAGGAAGAAGCTCTTGAGGATGAGGACCAGGAAAAATCTCTTGAGCATGAGGACATGGCGGAAGACATAGATGATTTCCCTGAGAAAGCTGAGGAAAATGGCCATGAACAAATAAGGGGGAATGAAGATGCGTACCAGGAAGAAGTTGATGAATATGTCGTTGAGGATGAGGAGGAAGGTGATGAGGATACAGATGAGGAAGGAGAGGTAGGTACAATTAATGATCCACGAGAGGAAGCTAAACTATACAAGAGAGATAATGCCACAGATAAAATCAAGAGGCAAGTTTATGAAAGTCTAGAGGAGGGAGACACAGAAGTTTTGAGAGGAAAGTCTGAAACAATTAACGAAGCTGTGGTTGACGAGGACACAGATGATGGTGACGGTGATGATGATGATGATGATGGTGATAATCTAGATGACACAGATGGTGAGCCGGGTAAAGACAGTGCGGGCGACTTGCAAGCTACTGACCCAGTCTACAGTAAGATGCTGTTGTGTAACCCCTCTTCCTGATCTTCCTTATCTTACTGATCTTCCTGAATTCCCCTTATCTTTCTGATTCCCCTGATATTTCTGACTGCCCTGTTCTTCCCGATTCCCTGTTCTTCGTGTTCCCCTGCTTCCCTTCTCACCCATTTTACCGTAATTTTACTGTTTATTTTATAATATTTAAATTCTATGATGTTTCTCTTGTTCCAGTTTTTAAATATTGTATAACTCATTATTGTAAATAAAGTCAAATTTAGTGTAAATTATTTAATTTGACAAAGTCACACAATATAACCAATTTGTAAATACATGAGAAATAAGGTGAGAGTTACCAAGCCAACTAAACCCCAGTCTTTCATTAGAAACAATAACTACAACCACACAGTTCAGTACGTACTTTTTAACAATCACTTTCTTATACAAAAATATGTGTGGAAATGTCTAAAGCAAGCTATAGGGCATTTTCTCTAGAATGTTTAGATTCGCAGATGTTGTTCTAAACTAATACTGTCAAGTTATTAATAGGCACTTTTGTTGTTTTAGCTGCTGGTGAAGAGACGCAGGCAGGTGCACTACCTAAGCAAGCTGCACAGAAGCAAGCAGTGCCCAAGAAAGAGGTGGAACCCGTTGGTATCTTCGAGAAGTTCGTTAATATTGTCTTCGGCTTGTCTCCACACGAGCGCGATGACAAAAAATGGGCGCAACCATGGCAAACACACGAAGAGTTCAAAAAGAAGCCCGCCGAAAAGCCTGTAGAGGTCAAAGTTGATAGGTCAAAGGGCGGACTTATCCACAGTTTCGTCAATATCTTCTTCGGTGAATCCAAAGCCTACGTACGGGACCCGAAGTGGGCTGAACCCTGGCAAACCCACAAGGAGCACAAGAAGCAACCCAAGAAAGAACCTGAGCCCGTGAAGAAAGTAGAAGCTACAGGAGGGATTTTTAATAAGTTTGTTGATATAATCTTTGGAGAGCAACCGAAGGAAGAAGCGCGTGATGCCAAATGGTCTCAGCCCTGGCAGACTCACAAGGAGCACCAGAAGAAGGCCAAAGACGAACCTGTAAAGGAGAAGAAAGAACGTGTCGTTTCGTCGGGTGGAATTATTGATTCTTTCGTTAGCCTCATCTTTGCCCCGGCGCCTGAAGAGACTAAACGTGATCCCAAATGGTCGCAACCTTGGCAGACCCATCCAGAATTTTCTAAGAAGGCCGAAAAGAAGGTAGAGAAGAAGGTAGAAAAAGAAACGGTCCGTGTTGATACTTCCGGTGGACTTATTGACTCATTTGTTCAGCTTATTTTCCCCACAACTCCTGCGGATACTAAACGTGATCCCAAATGGTCGCAACCTTGGCAGACCCATCCAGAATTTTCTAAGAAAGCCGAAAAGAAGGTAGAGAAGAAGGAAGAAAAAGAGAAGGTCCGTGTTGACACTTCCGGTGGACTAATAGATTCATTTGTTCAACTCATTTTCCCCACAACTCCTGCTGACACTAAACGTGATCCCAAATGGTCGCAACCTTGGCAGACCCATCCAGAATTTTCTAAGAAGGCCGAAAAGAAGGTTGAGAAGAAGGAAGAAAAAGAGAAGGTCCGTGTTGATACTTCCGGTGGACTTATTGACTCATTTGTTCAACTAATTTTCCCCACAACTCCTGCGGATACCAAACGTGATCCCAAATGGGCCCAGCCGTGGCAGACTCACAAGGAATTCAGTAAAGCTCCAGCTTCTAAACTGCAGCCTCTCAAGGCCAAAGATGTTCCAGAAGTAGTTCCAAAGCCTGAGCCTGCTGCCGTCCCCAAACCAGAACCAGTTCGTGTACCAGTGGTAGAACCAAAGCCAGTCGTTGAGGAACCAACTGTGGCAGAGGCAACGTTTCCTGCTGAGGAAGTGGCAGGTAGGTGTTGTAGGGTTTGTGTTGTTAGCTTACCTTTAGACACCCACTTAAGAAAGTCGTTCTTTTGTGCCTGATTCCTCGGTGTCCGTAGTTTCTCTGCATTTTAATATTCACCAGATACTTTATGAAATTTGATCAGGACAATGAAAGAGAGAGAGAGAGAGAGAGAGAGAGAGAGAGAGAGAGAGAGAGAGAGAGAGAGAGAGAGAGAGAGAGAGAGAGAGAGAGAGAGAGAGAGAGAGAGAGAGAGAGAGAGTACAACACCAGCACAACGATGCTACAGCTACAATATATGCTTTACAATTTACTAGTGAATATTATGTCAAGGGAGACCTGGACACCACTACCGATATCTGGCTCTAACACTTTCCAGTAACATAGAACTGCTTTTATAATGCTTTAGCTGCATAATAAGGTAAACAAAATATGCTTGCAACATATGCCTGAAATATATGCTTGCAATATATATGCTTTCTTGATAATATATTGCATCATATATGCAAACGTTTGATATATAGCTAATAGTTTTAAAGCTTAGAGATTTTACAGCTAATTTCCTTTAGCGCCCTCAGGAGAGCTAGAAGCACGACATCATGAATTATTTCATTCGAGGTCAAACTAAGTGTAACTTTTGACGAATTTAAGTAAGACTTAAGTGCTTGTGTGTGACCAACTTAGAGAGGGAGGAGTAATGCTCCTGAGGGCGCTATGGTGTCACCAGATGGGATGGTCTCCTAGAGAAGGAAAGGTCTTCCTACCATGGTAACTTTCTAACACTTCTTCGTGACTCAAAGGTGAAGATGCAGTGCTCAGCGACACCGACGATGAAGGTGAGGATCATGCTGAAGGATCTGATGAGGAATCTGACGAGGACGAGGTGGATACTGACGAAGATGATGATGATGGGGAGGAAGAAGGAACTGATGAAGACGAAGAAATCAGCGATGAAGTAGATGATGAGGACAAAGATCAGGATGAGGATGATACAGATGAAGAAGTTGCCGAGGCAGTAAAAGAAGATGAAGAAGATGAGGAAGATGAGGAAGATTCAGATGAAGAATCCCCTGAGGTAGTCAAAGACGCTGCGGAAGACACTGATGATGAAGATGATGAAGACGATGAAGAAGATGATGAAGAAGATGACGAAGACTCAGATGAAGAATCCCCTGAGGTAGTCAAAGACGCTGCGGAAGACACTGATGATGAAGATGATGAAGACGATGAAGAAGATGACGAAGACTCAGATGAAGAATCCCCTGAGGTAGTCAAAGACGCTGCGGAAGACACTGATGATGAAGATGACGAAGACGATGAAGAAGATGACCGCATTGTTGAAGCCGACACTGAGAAAACTACCAAGAAAGCTTCAATTCTTAAGAAAAGAGGGATCACAAAAAGTGAAGTTAAGAGAGCTAGGAAAACTGGTGTTAAGGACCAACCTGATGACGATGACGAGTCTAGTGACGAACGTGAGACAGCTGAAGGCGAAGCTGACGAAGCAGGAGACGAATCAGATGGCAATCAAGACGAAGGTGACGACGAGATCATCATCCACAGCCCAGACGACGAAGGTGTGACAAGCAAGCTTCCTACAGACGGTCCGCCTCGCTTCACTGCTTGCTGCTGCTGCTCCTCTGCCTTGGATGTTCTCTCTCTTAAACCTTTACAACCTGTTGATTATGCTTGAGTGACTTACAGTACAAGACCATATTCATCCTACCATTTGAGTTATGGACTATTTCTGTACTTATAAGTTATATTGCAACTATGTCAAGCTAATCAAATACGCCTTCTGTCTTATGTATTCACTGCTGTTTAATATTTCCACGAAACTATTTTGCATAATAATATTATATAAATAATATTTTAAATGTTCCTCTGCGTCCAGCGACTTGTGTTGTTCTTCTACAGCTGCTCTGCTATGCCTACTATATATCATAGATATTCAGTAGTATTCTTATAACATAGAATCTCAGTAATGCAACTAACTACCTAATGCCATAGAATAGCGTTCACACATTCAATATATATAATTTTTGCTTCATTCTACGCCATAATACTCCACAAAATTGTAATATTATTGTAGTGTCCTCTCGTGTTCAAGCTATGAGTAGCAGGTTTGAACACGGGTTACTGATTGGTCACTTAGATTGCACCAATAATTGCAATACTTGAATTGTATTTCTGAGGCTTTGATTAATACTTGTATAGTTTCACAACACGTCTTTGTCTTAGTCTAGAGAAGACCAAGTCTTCCTCCGGAGACTTTTATAGCCATAGTCGCTCCAGGGTCCTGACTTCTATACCCAACCATGTCTAACATAATATATTTATATAATGTAACATACGCTGCAGGAACGCGCAAGCCATATATATTGTTAAGAACTGTAAATGACACAACCAGGATTCAAACGCATAATCACCCCCAAACGTACACAGTACCGTGACGATCAATGGTAAGTTGATCACGGTACTGTGTACGTTTGGGGGTGATTCTAGATATCATGGGTTCGAATCCTGGTCGAGTCATTTTGAGTTTTTAGTGATATATATAATAATAATAACTGTCAAAGACAATTGGCTTGAGGAGCCAACCCAGGAGCAACTAAGAAAGTATGGTCATAGTTTTGTAAGTAGCTTAGAGCAGCCCTGGCAAAAACAACACGCAGATTACCATTAAGCATTACTTGATAAGTATATGGTTCACCTAATGTGCTTTAACCCATCCTCCAGCTCTGTTTTTCTTACTGGTGATGAGTTGATGAATGCCTTAGTCTTGCCCACCACGACTAATACCGATGGTCGACCAGAGACAACCATCTTCCAGCGACCCATCTATACCTCTTGCTGGTGGTGGATCAGAGACAACCATCTTCCAGCGACCCATTTATACCTCTTGCTAGTGGTGGATCAGAGACAACCATCTTCCAGCGACCCATTTATACCTCTTGCTGGTGGTGGATCAGACACAACCATCTTCCAGCGACCCATCTATACCTCTTGCTGGTGGTGGATCAGAGACAACCATCTTCCAGCGACCCATTTATACCTCTTGCTGGTGGCGGATCAGAGACAACCATCTTCCAGCGACCCATCTATACCTCTTGCTGGTGGTGGACCAGACACAACCATCTTACAAAGGTTTATTAGGTGAACCACGCTAGTAATAAGATAATGCAGGATTAAGGTATTGTATTTAAAGTAGAGCTAAACAGTAACTCATGAAACAGCAGTGAATTCAGGAGGCATAATGAAGTGAAAGCATGAACACACACACTACTCCCCGCCGACTGTTTTCAACACCCGCCAGTAGTGTGTTCGCTGGTCTCGGGTCGTTTCCCCCCCCCCACCCCACCCCCACCCACCAAAACTATTAATACCAATTACACCTATAATTTGAGCAAATACAAAATCATATCATTATGATTTAAATAATCAGTTAAACAAAAATTGAACTTTATAAAAATGAATAATTAGTGAATAATGATGCCTCATTAAATTATTATTTTGAAGTTCTTGTAACCACCTATTACTGTAATTATTGACCTCGTGTTAGGCCTTCATCACATGGGATATATACACCCCGCGTGTTGGTGTAAACATCTTGACCCAGCTTCACGAAGCATTTACGCAAGTACTTACGAACGTGTACATCTTTCCTCAATCTTTGACGACTTTGGTTACATTTATTAAACAGTTTACAAGCGTCGAAACTTCCTAATCAACTGTTGTTATTGTTATAAACAGCCTCCTGGTGCTTCGAAGCTCATTAACTGTTTAATAATTGTAAACAAAGCCACCAAAGATGGAGAAAAGATGTACAGGTTCGTAGTGCTTGCGTAACTGCTTCCTGAATCTGACCCCTTGAGTTTACGTTTATACTGAATGATGTCTAGAGCTAAAGTAAACTTGTTGCCTGATTGTGGCATCCTAAATCTTGAGGTTGATAGGCCTAGCACCAAACCAGACCTGAACCAGGAATCTCTGTACACTGACTGGGTATACCGGCAGGTGACTAACTGTGATGACTCCCCCTACAAGGTGCAGGTGCAGCTCCTGCGGCAGCTCCTGCTGGTACCCAACCGGTGGCTGACGCCCCCGAAGCCGCCGAGCAGCAGGTACTGGTGGAAGAGAGCGAGGCACCGCAAGTTCCTCAGGCAGCTCCAGCACTGGAGGAGGAGGAGGAACAGGTAAGACACGAGCACCTGGTAAATACGTGAGCGGGAGGACGAAGGGGAGGGAGAAACCACCGAGGAAGAATAGGAGGAGGTTTTAAAGTTTTTTAAAAGGAGGTTTTGTTCTTGGCCTTACAAGGCCAAGAATAGTTTCGAAAGCAATGCACGAATAGTTTTGATAATAGCGTCAGTAAATAACCGAGTGGATAGCACTTGTGGGTCGTAGTCCTAAGGATCCGGGTTCTATTCCCGCCCCAGGCAAAACAAAATTGGGCAGAGATTTTTTTAGCTTGATTCCCTTAATAGCCTAACACTGGCACCCCCCACCCTGTGCCAGTTGAGTATGACGGGGTCGCCATAGCCTGTGCTGCTTGCAACTTGTTGTTCCCAGTAGCTGTATCTAAAACAACAACAGTAGCCTAGCACTAGATACAGTAGGTACCTGGGCATTAGACAGTCCATGCGGGCTACATTGTGTGTGTGTGTATTCACCTAGTTGTATTCACCTAGTTGTATTCACCTAGTTGTGCTTGCGGGGGTTGAGCTCTGCTCTTTCGACCCACCTCTTAACTGTCAATCAACAGTTACTACTATTCCCCCCCCCCACACACACAGTAAGCAGCCAGCTGTCTAACTCCCAGGTACCTATTTACTGCTAGGTAACAAGGGCATCAGGGTGAAAGAAACTCTGCCCACTTTGTTTCTGCCATCACCGGGATCGAACCCGGACCCTTGGATTACGAGTCCAGAGCGCTGTCCACTCAGCTATCAGGTCCCCACTTGGTGTGTGTGTGTGTGTGTGTGTGTGTGTGTGTGTAACACGCACGCACGCGCGCGTGCAGTCAATATATTACATAACTGACGGTTAGTAAGACAAGGTCCAACAACTAACAGCTTGATCCTGCAGGCACGGTTGAAAACAAAAATACTAAATTAATTTTACTTTAAAGTTCCGATCTTTAAAGGTATTGATCTACAACAAATTGATCTCTGCAGGCAGCAGCATCTGGCGGTGAAGTGTTTAGTGTGGGAATGTGACTGTAGGGTTCCTTGCTGTCACTTTACCTGCTGTGTGGACACCATCGTGAAATTATGTTGTTAGCTGTAGTGCCTGACTGTGGTTAAATACTAGTGCCTAGTAGTAGGCATCCATCAGTCTCAGGAGACTATGGAGTTGCGCTCTGGTGTCGGCCTGGTCTGGAGTGGCCTCACCAGGGCGCAAAGCCAGGGTAGGTTGATTCGGGGGAGAAGCTGTTACCCACTAGTGCCCAAGGGTAATGAAACACTAAAAAATTTTCACTAGTGCCCAAGGGTAATGAAACACTGTAACAATCTAAACACTAGTACCTAAGAGTAATGAACAATCCCACCACAGAGACACTCTCGTATTAAACATGCCAAATTAAAGCAACACAACCCAACCAAAAACCTTCCAAACCTACAGCAACAAAATCACATTCACGTCTAACGATTTAGCATATAACACAGTGATGCGTGACACAACACCCCAATCCATACATATATCGGCTGACGCTCAATAAACTTTACAATATAATTTGTCATATCCGCGCCAAGCCTAAAAGTTTTGTCGAAATGACAAAATGAAAAACATTTCATCTCGTCTAGAAAGTTCAGGTGCTGTTCATATGACAAGACGCTGTGTGTGTCGACAGATAGTGGTGGTTCCTACGGCCTTCCGCTCCAGAGACCGTCTGGAAGCCATCTTGGGCCTGGACGAGTCCTCGCAAGACGCCGCCGCCCGCACTGACCCCATCGCTGACGCCACACTCAAGGAACTCAAGAAAATTTACGAGAGCACCATCAAGCCCCTGGAGGTGCTCTACAAGTACAAGGACATCTCCAACCGACACGTATCCGACGCCGAGCTCTTCGGCACGCCGCTCATCCTGCTGGTGGGGCCTTACTCCACCGGCAAGTCCTCCTTCATCAACTACCTCTTGGGCGTCGAGTACACGAAGCGGGCGCTGAAGACAGGTGGGTGCTGCAAGCTCTCACAGCTATCACTTTAGTTGTTGTTGAATGTAATGGTTTCACGACCTGCAAGTGTGAGGAAGCTTGTTGGTGTGGGTGAGGCTTACTGGTTGTGGGGGGGGGGGGAAGCCTCACTGTTGTGGGGAAGCCTCATTGGTGTGGGGAAAGCCTCATTGGTGTGGGGGGAAGCCTCATTGGTGGGAGGGAAGCCTCATTGGTGGGGGGGGGAAGCCTCACTGGTGTTGGGGAAGCCCCAGTGATGTGGAGGGGCAAGACGAGAGAGAGAACAGGAGGGAGAGCTGGGGGGGAATTAGCGACAAAGGAGAAGTAAGGAGAGTCGAGGAGGCCAACAGGTGTGTGTGTCTGTGTTTCAGGGACGCCGCCCAGCCACGGCGTGTTCCGTGTGGTGCAGTTCGGGGAACAGGACACCGAGCTGGACGGCACCGACCTCAGCGCTCACTGGTCTTTCACCTCACTTCAGAAGTTCGGACAGAACTTCATAGATCAGCTTCATGGCAAAGCTTTCAACAGCCCTCTACTGAAGAAGGTAGGACGCTCATTAATCCCACTGTGAACTATATTATATATATATATATATATATATATATATATATATATATATATATATATATATATATATATATATATATATATTTAATTTCTCTAAGCGACCAAGAAAGATTTACATAAACATCCATACGTATTGTGCACAAGTAAAATAAAAAATCATTTATCAACCAATTCGCATGAGGTAGGCTGTGCATGATGTCCTTAATTTACGAATACATTAGAGCTGAGGCAAAAGTCCAGCGGTTGTTTCAGTTGTTGGACTTATGTGATTATGTGAAGACGAATACCGGCGTTTGTATTGGCACAGTTCATTCCAGGTATGGGGAGGGGAAGGAAAGGCAACTAGAAGAGAAAGTGTTCTTTTGAAATGTCTAGATATGTCCACAGCCCACCCCAAGACACACTACCATCCCCAAGCTTTGTAAACGCTAATTAATGACACTGTAAAAAGACAATTCGAAAACTGTTTATGGAGGACAGACGTAAATCTGTGTATTTATGTATGTAGGTTTGATTAGCATTTTAAAAACACTACAATCACCTTCTGTGGTTGATTGTTCAATAAATCCCTGAACTATATGTTTAATAGATCTCTAACCCTGTCCATTGAGGACAGAAGAAAATGTATATATGATGTTCAGCATTGTAAGCATGTTCGGCCATGTCTGTGGTAGAAAAATAATAATAAAACTCCCCAAGCCACCTTGTGGAACACACAACCAACCACGCAAGTCTACTCTGGCATGCTGAATTATACAGTGGAAATAATCTTCCTTCCCTTAACGTGTACTCGGGTGTGACCTGTAGTGTTGATGGAAGTACTAGTTATCCACTCCAGCGTGGAGGCCTGGTGGGACCTTGTCGCCGGCGGTGGGACTGTTTCAGAGGCCTGGTGGGACCTTGTGGCCTGCGGTGGGACTGTTTCAGAGGCCTGGTGGGACCTTGTGGCCTGCGGTGGGACTGTTTCAGAGGCCTGGTGGGACCTTGTGGCCTGCGGTGGGACTGTTTCAGAGGCCTGGTGGGACCTTGTGGCCGGCGGTGGGACTGTTTCAGAGGCCTGGTGGGACCTTGTGGCCTGCGGTGGGACTGTTTCAGAGGCCTGGTGGGACCTTGTCGCCGGCGGTGGGACTGTTTCAGAGGCCTGGTGGGACCTTGTGGCCTGCGGTGGGACTGTTTCAGAGGCCTGGTGGGACCTTGTGGCCGGCGGTGGGACTGTTTCAGAGGCCTGGTGGGACCTTGTGGCCTGCGGTGGGACTGTTTCAGAGGCCTGGTGGGACCTTGTCGCCGGCGGTGGGACTGTTTCAGAGGCCTGGTGGGACCTAGTTGCCAGCTGTGGGACTATTTCAGAGGCCTGGTGGGACCTTGTGGCCGGCGGTGGGACTGTTTCAGAGACCTGGTGGGACCTTGTGGCCTGCGGTGGGACTGTTTCAGAGGCCTGGTGGGATCTTGTGGCCTGCGGTGGGACTGTTTCAGAGGCCTGGTGGGACCTAGTTGCCGGCGGTGGGACTGTTTCAGAGGCCTGGTGGGACCTAGTTGCCAGCGGTGGGACTGTTTCAGAGGCCTGGTGGGACCTAGTTACCAGCGGTGGGACTGTTTCAGAGGCCTGGTGGGACCTAGTTACCGGCGGTGGGACTATTTCAGAGGCCTGGTGGGACCTAGTTGCCAGCGGTGGGACTGTTTCAGAGGCCTGGTGGGACCTAGTTGCCAGCGGTAGGACTGTTTCAGAGGCCTGGTGGGACCTTGTGGCCTGCGGTGGGACTGTTTCAGAGGCCTGGTGGGACCTAGTTACCGGCGGTGGGACTGTTTCAGAGGCCTGGTGGGACCTAGTTGCCAGCGGTGGGACTGTTTCAGAGGCCTGGTGGGACCTAGTTGCCAGCGGTGGGACTGTTTCAGAAACTGTCACTTTCCCTCCACACACAGAGCAGCTCAACAACGCCTCTCGCTCTCAATGTAGTTTTCTTAACATCTGTTATACAATGAAAATGCAGCTTATAAATTAGGTGATTATTCGCAGGCAGGAAGCAGCCATCCTTCATCGCCTGTCTTGCAAGATATTTTGGATATAAATTCTAGTACTTTATAATGTGGAATTATGATTCCAGCATTACTTAGGAATTACTTTTTGAATAACACGCGCAAGGGAACTTAGCAATTTGCATATACAGGACTTATTTAGGTGTTTGAGGCAGCTGAACACTGGTTGGTTACCAAGCCTAAAGATGAACATAAACCTGGCTCAGCACTAATACCGTACCAGGTTATCTTACCAAAGGACCTCCATAACACCAAGAGTCTCACGGGAATCCCAGTAACCTTAACCTTTTCTCTCAAGGATTAACGTAATCTAAGAAGATATCCATTAACACAAGTGTTCACCCTAAGGACTCTTCCCAGAGGACTTCGGGGCACGCATGCCTAATTGGTTGCTGAGGAAGGTGAATTGGCAGGCTTCTCCAGTAGCCTGTTAGGCATGCGCGCTCTGTCTGCTCTCCACTGACTCCCTCTCCATCCCGGCCCAGCCACTCGCCGCATGTCCACTTGTTGACGACGGTCCATGTACCCAGCTCACCTTCCGTTCTAAACGTAATTACATGTTGAGTATGGCTCATATACCCAGCTGAACTACCATCAAAGACGTAATCCTCAATCTATTACTATATTAGCATAACAATATATATATGATCGAGTAGCTCTCGAGGCAGTGTTTTTTAATGCCACAGCTGGAGTATATGCTTCATATGTATTCCTGCGCCAAATTACCTCTGAAACGTTGGTAACCAATCGAGGACTCTTGCGGCAGGTGACCTTCGTGGAGGCCCCAGGTATCCTGGAGATGCGACGCCCAGGGGAACGACTGTACCCATTCAACGACGTGGCTCAGTGGTTTATCGATCGCGCAGACCTCATTCTCGTCATGTTCGACCACACTAAACTCGATGCTGGCTACGAGCTGGAGGCCATCTTGGATCAGCTAAAGGGACGCGAGGCCCAGGTCAGTGTTATAAATCTAGTTTCTTATAAGAATAAGAAAACAAATTATAGTTTGTGCCGCGCAAAAAGAGAGAGAGAGAGAGAGAGAGAGAGAGAGAGAGAGAGAGAGAGAGAGAGAGAGAGAGAGAGAGAGAGAGAGAGAGAGAGAGAGAGAGAGAGAGAGAGAGAGAGAGAGAGAGAGAGAGCTTGGTTAGCTAGTAATTGTTTAGATTTCACTATTCTGCAATTTTCCGTTAATTTTTATTGAACATTATCACGACCATACAATCGTTTGTATATATATATATATATATATATATATATATATATATATATATGTATATGTATATATATATATATATATATATATATATATATATATATATATATATATATATATATATATGCAGAATAACCACATATGAAAAATAGAAAATGCTTAACGCGTTTTCGGCTAATTCGCCTTCATCAGAGCAAAGTAGAATGAATCTACTCTGATTCATTCTACTTTGCTCTGATGAAGGCGAATTAGCCGAAAACGCGTTAAGCATTTTCTATTTTTCATATGTGGTTATTCTGCATACTTGGATCAGTGTTTTTGTGATCATTGTTGCATATATATATATATATATATATATATATATATATATATATATATATATATATATATATATATATATATATATATATATATGTCGTACCTAGTAGCCAGAACTCACTTCTCAGCCTACTATGCAAGGCCCGATTTGCCTAATAAGCCAAGTTTTCATGAATTAATGTTTTTTCGTCTACCTAACCTACCTAACCTAACCTAACCTAGCTTTTTTTGGCTACCTAACCTAACCTTACCTATATATATAGGTTAGGTTAGGTTAGGTAGGGTTGGTTAGGTTCGGTCATATATCTACGTTAATTTTAACTCCAATAAAAAAAAATTGACCTCATACATAGTGAAAAGGATATCTTTATCATTTCATAAGAAAAAAATTATAGTAAATATATTAATTCAGGAAAACTTGGCTTATTAGGCAAATCGGGCCTTGAATAGTAGGCTGAGAAGTGAGTTCTGGCTACTAGGTACGACATATATATATATATGTATATATGTATATATATATATATATATATATATGTATATATATATATATATATATATATATATGTATATATATATATATATATATATATATATATATATATATATATATATATATATATATATATATATATATATATATATATATATATATATATATTACTGCCTAAACTATGTTGTTTCGTATGATGCCAAGCAAGTAGTTACATGTAAACGAACCCGCTGCTCCACAGACACGTATCTTGTTGAACAAGGCCGACCAGGTGCCGGCCGAGGAGCTGATCAAGGTACAAGGGAGCCTCTTCTGGAACCTGAGTCCCCTCCTGGGGGTGTCCACGCCCCCGACCGTCTATGCCGGATCCTTCGCCTCCAGGCCTTACCGCACCTCATCTCCAGCCAGACTCTTCCAGGTCCTCTTGCTATCCTCTCTCACCTGCTATCATGTCTCACTAATGATATATAAGCTCTGCTGACAACATACAATGAGAACATCAGTAGGAGTCGTGAAAAGGATTCGAATCTATGCTCTGGATGTGTGAAACCTTAATTTCCTGAGGCTTCAGTGGGAGCCTCAGGAACAATAGAGGATTCAGTTGAATCCCAGGTTGCAATGCTTTTGACCATATCGTGGTGTAGTGGACTAAAGCGTTCGCTTGAACCCAGAGTATAGATTCTAATCCTCTTCACGGATCCTACTGATCTGCTCATTCATACTTCACGTTAATGTGATTTCTTTGTGCATATTTACGATGGTAATACATATCAAGATTCCTCTTGACATACCAAAGTAGTAGAAGGTAGTGGTAGTGGTAGTGATAGTAGTAGTGATAGTAGTAGTAGTATTGTTATAGCACAGTATGTACAGTACTCCAGTACTCCAGGTAAGGACTGCCTGGCCAGTGCCTATCTGCTTGACCCAGAGATCCATCACTTTTCCCGGGAGAGTAATCTGTTCCTCCCCCTTCCAGGCGCAGGAGGAGGCGCTCCTCACCGATATCGCCCTCGCTGTCAATTCCCGCGTCGACAACCGTATTGCCATCGCTCGCAGACACGCGGTTAGTGTTGCACTCCATTAACCCCACTACACCCACTGACACTGGTCAACCCCGTCTCTCTACACCACTACACCCACTGACACTGGTCAACCCCGTCTCTATACCCACTGACCATGGTGAGCCAGGCTCTACACCCACTGACCATGGTGAGCCAGGCTCTACACCCACTGACCATGGTGAGCCAGGCTCTACACCCACTGACCATGGTGAGCCAGGCTCTACACCCACTGACCATGGTGAGCCAGGCTCTACACCCACTGACACGGGTGAACCAATCACTCTACACTTACTGACAGTGGTGAACCACGCTCTCTATACCCACTGACGCTGATGAACACATTCTCAACAGCACGACACCCACTGAGGTTCCCTCTCTTACACCACTACACTCTTGTACCACTGAAGTCTCTCTCTTTCAATATTGTATTCAAATATGAAAACACTCTCCACTATAGCCCTCTTTACGCTGCTCCAGTCTTCCAACACTGACTAGCAGCCGATGCTCAAACGCTGTTGATGTTAATTAAGTCATATTGACCCCTTCTATGTAATGTCTCGTGACCACATGTGAGAGGTCAAACGATGTTGTGTTCGAATCATGCTCCATACCGTCAGATGTGAACAATGAGCTGTATCGGGAGTTCTTGCGTTGAAAAAGAATCTTGTCACAGATAACATCGACCAACATCTGAAAAGCATCTGTCATTCTGAACGCTAGAAACACCAATGCATTCTTTATTCTCATCTGACGCAGTAAATATACATGTTAACGTATTTAAACAGACCACACATACACACACACACATATATATATATATATATATATATATATATATATATATATATATATATATATATATATATATATATATATATATATATAATAAAAACGAAGAAAGACTAAGCTAATCTCCAATTGTGATGTTTGCTTTGTTCCATGGTGCGGCGTTTGGGGTGACTGCTTCAGGTGCGAGTGAGGAACCACGCACAAATGGTAGACACCTACCTCACCACCTACTACAAGAACAAGGGCTTCCTCACCAGCAAGCACAAGCTGGCTGAGGACATCGTCGAGAACCCGCACACCTACAACATCTACGAGGGAGTCGGTCTTCTTACCAACATCTCCCGTTACGACCTCCCAGACCCTGAGACCTATAGGGACTTCTTCAGGTAGGTCGCCTTCGGTCCCTCGAGGGGGGCCCCCCCATCTTGTATTTGTTCCAAATGCCATTAATGCTATATGACACTGAACCAGAACAATGATTAGACGTGAGGGCGGCTCGTCACACCTGACCCATCAGTTGCTGACCACACCAGGAGACCAGTAGACACACCATGCGTACCAGCTATCTGTCAGTCTGCATCACTGCTTATCAAACATATTCTTACCGATCAAAAATTAATTGTCATTCTTACCAACAACTTCACACACACAACAGTTAACCCACATTGAAGTATAATCCGGGTTGTGGTTGCCGTAGAGTTTTTGTGCTATCTCATGTCGCTCAGAAAAAAAAAAATCATTCTCCCCTCTGTATGACTAACCATCCTGTGTGATGGGGATTTCTTAGCATCACCTAGTTAGCTTTTTTGACACACTGTACTCCACTTCATATAGTCTAGGGTAACTGCACTAATGCAGATGTACCTCATTTCTTAATAGAGCAGATAGCGTATCTGCCTGGATAGTGAAGATTGTTATAGTGATGAAGATAGTGTAGATGGGTTAAATCTATGAAGGTTGTTTGTAATGAAGATAGTTCCAGCTGTGAAGGCCGTTTGTAGTGTAGATGGCTTACAGTAATGAAGGTCGTGTGTAGTGTCGATGTGGACTACTTTTTCACCACAGCGCCGAGTACCCATGTAGCTTTGCCTTTGTTGACAGGATCCATCAATCTCCTCAAATATTTTCTAAATATTTAACGTGCATAAAATGTTAAGTGAGAAATCTGATCATACTTTCAAAATCTGGGTCAAATTTTAATTGTATAAAAGGAAAGTTAAAATTAATTTTATTAACGGCTATTCTGTCTCTCCTCGCTAGGGTTCACAACCTATTCGACTTCCAAACTCTGAAGGAGACTTGCTCGTTCTTCCGTGGATGTCCTCTCACCAAGATTGACGCTGCCATCAGCACCGACTTGCCCGAGCTGCTGGAGCGTTACCGTCGTCTGCTGGAGGCCGCCATCGCTGCCCCGGGCCCCAAGCGGAGGGACGCGGCCCCCGTGCCCGCCCCGTCCACCCGCGGCTCTGTTCCCGCTGCTGCGACCGCTCGAACGTCTTGAGCCACAAGCGTCTACGTCCTCACACGCCCGCAGCACGACTGACCCAAGTGTGATATTCAAACTGGAGACGCGACTGGCTTAACAAGCCGCCGTGACCCAGCTGATGAAGGGTGGTGGGCGGGCGGGAGTATGACGGGGTCAAACAGGTCACGCCCCCGCCATACCCCCGCGACCGTACTGTGACAGGTTCACCCACCTGGTTCACACGAACTACCCTACTGGAGACTGCTGCCTCTCCTGATTCCCGGGTGGATGGGTGGGTCTCGCTGCCCCTCCACCACAGCGGCGACAGGCGGGCGGCGCCAACCCCTGCATTCCCGCCAACTTTGTTGTCTTCACTGTCCTCCTATACTTTGCTCTTCTACTTTGTTTCTTCTTGTCGCCCCTTGCTCGACAGCCCTAACGACGACCCTCAAGCGACCTGAAGGTGGAGTGCGGGGAAGCCAGGCGAGGGTACGCCCTCTCTCCGCCCCTCAGCTCGTCCTTGGGGTCGTTTCTAACCCAAGCTGTTTTAAGGCGACCTCCGGGCGGAGAAGACTGGGCTACCCTCGGCTGCTCTTTGTCATCACATGGAAACTATCTCCATGTCGATTGATACATCTCACTAGAATAGACAACATTTGGGATTCCTCTTTGCACATCGTCTTAGAGCATTCCGTGTCCTAAGACGGTGGCTTGTGAGAGGGACTCTAAGCTTAGACTGTTGATATCGTCATACATAATTACCAAAGATGTCGGTGGCTCGCCAGGTCTCCTAGATTAAGATTTTTGTTGCTCTATATAAATTACCTTAACATGCTGCGAAAAAATATGTATCATACACATCAATGTCAAAATCTCGCTCATTAGAAGACTGTAAATAATACTTCATTTGTATTAATGTATATACTGCATGGGTAACAGCTTCTCCTCCATATCGACCTACCCAGGCTTTGCGCCCTGGAGAGGACACTTCAGCCTCGACAACCAGAGCGCAACTCCATAGTCTCCCAAGACTGCAGGATGCCTACTACTACTACTGTATAACGGCGTCTTAGTCTAATACATATCAGTACATACTGAGTTCCCAAAGAGACCAAAGACCTCAAGCCAGGGGCCACGGCACATAGGTGAAAAACACATAACTTAGACTTAAGGCTAATTTTACAAGGATGAGTACAATCTAGTCAGCTTGTTACTTCACGAAGGGAAACTGTCTTTCAGACGACCCTCTTACACGACTCTTACGCTAATTATTAAGTCACAGGACCGCTGCTCATCTTCCATTCCTTCAGCGCACCACGAAGAAAAGCGAGTCAGCACAAGATCTCTCTCCGGAATGGAAGGGGGGAACACTATACCACACGTCACAGCTCACTGGAAGCACCAGGGACCCTGCCTTGTGTGCCTAGCTCATTGGCTATTGTTAGGCTGCCACTAATTTACATCGCCTGCTACCGCTATCAGGCCCCTTGCTAACTTGTAATAATATTGTACCACATGTAATCCCGGCAACGAGGTTACTAAATGTTCAGAAAAGCTTGTTACACTATTGGAGATCTTTCGTGGTTAGCTAAATAAAGCCATGTTAAGTTGTTAGTGAGTATGGTAAGGTGTTAGGAATTCTCTGTGGTACCTCTAGCCCTCCCATACCTGGGGTTCAGAGGCCAGGTACTCAAGAGGACCTCCCACTGCCCACCCCACATGAATGTAGCGGTCCCACCCCTAAAAAAAATACAATATATATATATGCATTTTGTTTTCGAGTGGATTTTCTATAGAGTATGAGCAAATTTGTATATTAATGTAAAGTGTCTTGTATATGTTTAATCATGTGATGTTATATATTGAATATTTAGTTGTATAGATGCAGCAATGGGACTCAAAATACCCCTACATCCTTAGCCAGCAAGCTGAGAGACGCTGTCAGCAGCAGCTCCTGACATTGTCACAAGGAAGCTGACATCAGTCTCCCCTTGTTTTACTGTAGACTAGATTTGTTCTATATTCTCTTTAATGGTGACGTTGTCCTTGTTGAGTGAGAGGGCCTGCGGTGGGTGCTGCCCCCTGGGAGCGCCCAGCGGCAGCCCTTGCGTGTGATCAGTGTGTGTATGGTCACTTGTGATATCATGCGTCCCTCCACCCTGTGAAATAACACAATTAGGGAGTGTTGCAATAAACTTACGCCGTCCTAGACTCACTTTCATTGTCCACAATTGTGTGATGGATATATTGTGATGGGTTTCCTAGTTTAGGAAATTCTTGTGCTTAATTTAGGTTGCCTTTGTATTAGTTGTGGGAATTCAGTTTCTAATTTATCTTAAGTTACAATCATATTGGCAATTCCAAATAAAATTGCTCTTGGTTACTTGTGGTTTACAAAGCGTAAATTATCTTGCCATGTTATTTGGAGGAAGAGTAGGTATATGCTTAAGTATAAGCATAGGAGGTTGCTATTATTCCATGAGAGAGTAGCTTGACCCATTTAGCAGGCACCATACGGAGAGTTATCCCATGTTACACTATTTTCATGACTGACCCTGTCCCGGGTGTGTCTATGTAAGATGTTGTTTCTAAGGCACGTTCCTGATTTCTCCATTTCATTTTCACGTAATATAGTCCTTTGTGATGGTGGCACCTCTTGGCTGGTATTGAAGAGGGTTACCACAGACTCGAGTCACAGCCTTGAAGAAGAAATCACAGACAATAGTAGTCACAGCCTTGAAGATGAAACCACAGACACTAGCAGTCACAGCCTTGAAGAAGAAAACCCCACAGAAACTAGTCACAGCCTTGAACAAGTAACCACAGACACCAGTCACAGCAATACCAAACCTTTAATATAAGCGAGCAATGCACTAACCACAGACTCGTCCAAAATTTCCCCCACACACAACATAAAACATATGCTCCTATACACTCCTGTATTGTAACAACAAAATATTGGTGACATAATGGTGTGGCAGTGTAGTCGTGTATACATAATGGTGTGGCAGTGTGTACATTAACAGTGTGGCACAGTGTGGTCGTGTGTACACGAGAGGGAGGGGAACGGTGGGGGTGAGAGAAGGGTCATTTGGGCGAGAGGGAGGGAGGCGTGTCCACGGGGGCTCCAGTCACTCAGCAAATTTATTTTCCGTGTCACAGGTCAACACTGGACACGGAAATGGAAGGACATGTGAGAGGTGGAGAGTGGTAGGTAGGTACAGGGAACCCAACCTGTTTACTGTGAGGAGTTACAATGCCCTCTGTCGCTCTCATAATGCTACGTGCACCGTTCACCGTAGAACGTTATCTGCTACTGCAAGCAACGCAGATTGATAGTGTTCTCAAGACGTAGTTAACTAGTGTCATGGTTGTGTATTGTGCCCTCGAGGCTCCTCGTAAGTGTGTTATGAGAGACTTGGCGAATTGTGTGATATTTACAGGGCATTAGTGGAATTTACGTTAATGTGGAACTTACACTAATGTGGAATTTTCGCTAATATGGAACTTACTATAATTAAGCAACGTTTGTCCACAGTAGAAAGTTAAGGAAGAGAGCAACCTACAGAAGTCCTCATCTTGAAGTGTTACAAAAGACAATGGACTTACGAAGACGTCGACGATGCCTACGACATCCTTCCTGAAGCCTCAAGAGCATGCATGCGCCACTGTGGAGAGAGAGTGTTGTAGAGAGGCTGTAGTTTCCCGAGAGGTAAGGCAACGAAAGGCGCGCACGAAATTATTTAAAAGCGTCTCGTTTGTCGGGTGATTGATTGATGAAGATTAAGCCACCCAAAAGGTGGCACGGGCATGAATAGCCTGTAAGTGGTGGCCCTTTTGAGCCATTATCGGTATCAATAGATGATACTGGAGATCTGTGGAGGTGGGACTGCACCCTGCGTGACGGGAGATGTCTCCCGTGTGGACCAAATGGATTGATTGATGAAGATTAAGCCAACCAAAAGGTGGCACGGGCATGAATAGCTTGTAAGTGGTGGCCCTTTTGAGCCATTACAAGTATCAATAGAAGATACTGGAAATCTGTGGAGGTGCGACTGCACCCTGCGTGACGGGAGATGTCTCCTTGATCAAATGGTGATTGATTGATTGATGAAGATTAAGCCACCCTAAAGGTGACACGGGCATGAAAAGCCAGTAAATGGTGGCCCTTTTGAGCCATTACCAGTATCAAGAGCTATGGGGTTTGTCGGGATTCGCAGGTCACATATATATGGGAAGGGCCTCCTGTGCCAGAGAGATGGAGAAAACGAATTAAGACTTTATATATCCGGGAGCGGGAATTGGCGATATTGTTACAATATGAGTGATATTATGGCTGGTAATGGCAAGAAACCCATTATGTGTATGAGCGACTGAGGAAATGAAGAATACCGAGACATTAATTTAGACGTTAAGAAAGCCACTGAATGAGTTAGGAGCAAAGGAACGATCCCGGTAATTTGTGGCATGCTTCCAAGAAAGGAACTTTTGGAAGTCAATGGATGTCTCAGGCAATTTGGAGTCAGTTACCGACTAGATAAACATTGTGAATCAAATGCAATATCATTCATTGATAACTGGCAGCACTTCTAGGGCTGGTGGTGTTGCTTCAGCTAATGTATTGGTGTGGTTGGCGGGGCTCGTCTGAGGGTTAACTGCTTACTTATAGAGGCGTGGGAGTGTATTGGGGTAAAGGTGGTAAGTTACACTACATGACTTACCAGTCTTTGATATCAGTCACCATGAAGATACTTCTGCAACTCGTTTCGGTTGGACGTCTACAATAAAGATGGTTACAGTGGTGAAGACTGTGTAGTGTAGATGACTACAGTGATAATAGTGTAGTGTAAATGGTTACAGTGATAATAGTGTGTAGTGTAGATGGTTACAATGATACTAGTGACAATGATACTAGTGAGAAGTGAAGATGATTACAGTGATAATAGTGTGTGGTGAAGATGATTATAGTGATAAAGTGAAGTTAATTACAGTGATAATAGTGTAGTGTAGATTAGTGTAGATGATTAGTGATGATAATAGTGTAGTGTAGATGATTACCGTGATGATAATAGTGTTGTGAAGATGTGGACCCGTCACCCGAACACTGCCGAGTAACATCGCTGTCTGTTAGTCTAGCTAAGTTGGAGGCCAGACACGTACTTTGCTGTCGAGTTGGGCTGTCAGCTGGCTGTTTATTTACCTTAGCGCCCTGTCACTAGTCGTTTGACGGGTCAGGGGGGGAGGGGGATGAGGGGCGTCCTGGAAGGTTGTTTTTTTGTTTTGCTTTGCCTTTTTTTCTTATCGAATTTGGGCAATACAACCCATCGTTTATCGCTAAGAAATGGGCAATTCGGATGGTTTGCTGGGGGAGGAGGAAAGGGTGACGGGGTCTGAGGGCCGCGGTCAGTGTTGCCATCTCTCCTACAGGGGCTGCAGGTAATGGCAATTTTGCGGCAGGTGACGAGCGTTCCTCAGTTGTGGGCGTGACCCTTGTTGTTGTTGATGGTGTTGCTGGTTCCGCTGCACCCGAGGAGAATGCATTTGATGGATTCCTGCCTGGTGTTCGCCGCAGACGTGGTGCGGACCGGCGTTCTGGTTCTAATGATGAGGTATGTGGTGATCTTGTCCATGTTGTTGCTGAGCGGAGTACAGGGACCGCTGACTGTGTGGTCATCTTTGATCCCTGGGGAGTAATCGGGATTCTTTCCTCTCGAACCCTAAAGAGGAAGATGCTGCATTGAAGGCCTCTGGCATCCCCCAGAGGGAAAATGCGCATTGTAGTTAATTTTGAGAAACTTGTCGTAGTAGTTACAATGGCGGCTGCTGCTTCCAGTGTGGTTTGGGCCTATTGAGTGTTCCCTTCCCCCCCCCCCCCACCCACAGGAATATGAGAGTGCTGTCAACCGTTTAATGTTCGGGTTGACAGTGGAGTATTGCAAGATGTTCACCCGACTGTGGAGACATGCAATATCGAAGAAGGTCTGAGGGGACCTGGACATGGGTTTTCAGCGAGTGGTTCGTCTTTATATAAGACGTTGGATGGAACGAGGGTATCTACAAGTAGTGTCAGGGGTGGAGCTTTTTATGCTCCTTACAGACCTTGCCACGGTATTTATGTATATATTTGGTGCCTTGCTTGCTTCGTAAGGATCTTTATGCCCCACTCTGCTGTTGTAGATGTCAAGGGTTCTACCACACCAGTGTCCGCTGTCGGTCGGCGTTGCTTGTGCGGTGTGGTATGGTTCACGAAACCTTGCACTGTGTTGCATCAGAGACAGACTTAAAATGCTAAAATTGCTCTTGTATTCACCCGTCTTACTCCACATGTGAGCCCCGAGTTGCAAAGAGTCAGAGCTGTAGATAACTTGGCCTGGGCACGATGACCTGATATTCTGCGGCGGTGAAAATTGCAAAAACTAACCATCCCCTCCCCCTCCCCTCCATCTGTGCTATCTTGTGGAGGTTTCAGGGATCAACAGCCCCGCGGTCCAGTCTCCGACCCGGCGGAGACCGGATGGAGACCAACCTCTTGGTTGGTCGTCTGGACAACCAGGCTGTTTGACGCGGCTGCTCGGAGCCTGACCTATGAATCGCAACTTGGTTGATCAGGTATTATTTGGAGGTGTTTGTAAAGTTCTCTCTTAAACACCGTGAGAGGGAAGCCAGTTATGCCCCATATGTGTAGCGGGAGAGTGTTGAAAAGACTTGGGCCCCTGATGTTGATAGAGTTCTCACTCAGCGTACCTATGGCACCTCTGCTTTTCATTGGGGCTACTTTGCACATCCTGCCACGCCTACTGGTTTTATGTTACGTAATCTCCGTGTTCAGATTTGGATCGAATCCCCTCTAATATTTTCCAAGTGTAGATTAATATGTATCTGTCTCTAGAGAATACCGGTTTAGAACTTTTAATCGGTCCCAATAATTTAGATGAATTATGGGGTGGATTCTACCGGTAAAGGATCTTTGCACGCTCTCTAGTTCAGCAATTTTTCCGGCTCTGAATGAGGCTGTCAGTGTGCAACACTGTTCAAACATAAAGAACACTAGTGTCTTGAAAAGTATCATAATTGGTATAACATCCCTTGTTTAGAAGGCCCTTGTTATCCAATTTGCCATTTTTTTCTTGCAATCGTGGCAGCTACTTTATTGTATTCTTTAAAGGTAAAGGTCTTCCGATATGATTACTCCTAGATCCTTTACATTGT